AGCCCGCTTTGTCTCGAGCCCCACAATTTCCGCCATTTATGACAGTCACAAATCGAGTTATACTCACATACCCCACCGTCTTTAGCTTCAGCTCCAGAGTTGGCTTTAGCTTTAGCTTTGGCCTCAACTCTGTTTCGGCCTCAACTTTGGATTTCAGCCTCTCCTCAAGACCGCTCGCGTACTTTCTAATTTCTAGGCGCACTTTTTCCCTCATTGCTCAGAGGCTCTCCCAACCCTGGCTGCCGTTTGTTGATGTTTTTAATACCCTAATAATATGGGTTATACTGAGGCATTCGTTAAATCTTTTGATAAAATGTTCATTACATTTTATTCACAATTAAAAGTATAGTTTATAGTTTTATTAAATTGATAGTACCCCAATAATATGGGGAATAGGATAAACTTTACTGAGGCATTCGTTAAATCTTTTGATAAAATGTTCATTACATTTTCATTCACAATTAAAAAGTATAGTTTATAGTTTTGTTAAATTGATAGTACCCCAATAATATGGGGAATAGGATAAACTTTACTGAGACATTAGTTAAATCTTTTGATAAAACGTTATTTTACATTTTTATTCACAAATAAAAATTATAGTGTTTTAAATTGAATTTGTAAGTTGTTAAATGATTATTTGAACAAGATTTGTACATTTATTTTAGTGATATCAGATAATATGTTGTATTAAAATATATTATCCTTAAGATTTCATAGTATATTCACCATTCGGTTACTTGTTTATAAACACTTATTTAACAATATTTTTCTGTCATTGATTTTTGTTGTTCAAACAAGTTTTTAGGTATGTTTTTTTTTATTGTTCATCTCTTCAGCGTCCGCCAAGTGTTAATGTTCATTTGTGCATGCGATATTCACCAAATTGCATGCAATAGAAATTTGTTGTCGAGGTCACACCGCCGCACAGCTCCCCTCCTCAGACCACCCGGCACACCATAACCATAACCATTCACAATGGCAGAATAAAAACAAAAACAAAAAAAAAAAAAGAAAGAAACGATGCTTTTGGAGGAGGTTTTCTTTTATTTTTGTTGGTAGCTAAGTGATGGGAGGTCAAATCAGTTACAGTTACGTGAGGCTGTTTTTGGCCAACAGGAGAACGTTTCGGCCAGAAGCAGAGCGAATGGAAAGTTAAGGAGGAGGTAAGGCCTCTGGCTAATGAACTTGAATTGGAGCACTCCTCAAAAAATATAAAAAAACTGAACAATGCCAGATCCAATTTGAGCATTGATGATCTAATGACAGTTCCAATCAGTGGATCTCATTTACATTCCATCGACATGTATGTCGAATGTGGATCATTTGGTTATTAGAGAGTGGTTGGGTGAGCAATAAAGTCTCCACTTCAATGGTTAAAAGCAAAAAAGATTACAATTAACTTGACGTAAATGGATCAAGGAAAGATGCTAGGATACCTGGGTAACAATTAGATCATTATCATGGTAAAAGAAAATCATTTTGAATGGAATTCTATCGAAATGTGTCTTAAATTCTTAAGTAAGAATTCAGCACTACTGATCAGTCATAAATACATATATTTTATGTATAATCTCCGTAGAATATATCCATTATTTTTTATTTAATCATTCGATCTGATTTACCTGCCTCGAACATGATATGATACTAGTTCTAGATCAGTTATCATAATTTTTAACCGGTCCCATTTCGAGCATTTCAAGAATTTATAGCATCCTCAGTTGAGAGACTTGTTTTGTTTTTTTAGTCTTGATTTTTTTTTTTTTTAGCATTCTGATACAGTTACTTCAAATCAATTTTCCCGGTGGAATGCTTAGAATATTTTTAGATTTCAGTAATTTAGTGTAGAGCTGCACTCTTGTGACGCCCCCTTCGGCTTCCTTGGCATCTCCATGGGCTTTGAGCCACATGCTCATGGCCGTTTGTCATTTCCAGAGGCGCGCCAATTGCCGCAGTGGCCTGCCAAGCATTTTTGCGCTCTCTGTGTGAGAAAATGTGGCCGAACGGTTAATAACAGGGGAGTAGGTACGCTCCAAGGGGGGTCACCGGGGCGTGGAAGGTGCGGCAACGGCAGCAGCAGCAGTCAACATAACTGAGCCTAAAGGAAAACCGTGTTCACTACAACAGTTAAGGTGAAAAGAATAGTTCCTAACAGGTCACTCAATAAATCTACTTTGTTCTTTTTTTATACTCTTATAATTTTAGTCAGAAGCTTGTAACAATGTTAATCAGTCATTTCTGACCCTATAAATCATATGTATTCCTGATCAGCATTAACAGCCGAATCGATCTAGCCATATATTAAAGAACAAAAATTTTGAACAATTTTTTCGAAATTTTAAAATTAAAATTTTCAAAAATGGGCAAAATTAAAAAAAATTTAAAGTGCAAATAGAGTATGCAGATTTATTAACCTAATAAAACTAACATAAAAGAGCTTTCCGAATTAAAATGAACAAATTTTTGACTTAGGTGTGATATTTATAACCTTTGATATGATGTAAAAATTGTCATATAAAAATATCGCCTAATATCAATTCAGAAAATGCAAACTGTTTATGAACAAAGATCTAATATGTGTTCTGATTAAATGTTCTTCCTAAAAAAGAGTTATTAATTTTAACAATAATAAGATAAAGGTAGTTTATAAATGTTAAATCTTTATTTATCAATTTACACTCCTATTATTCGCACCACAACTGTGCGCAACTATGTGACTATGCGGAGGAGATGGAGGAGATTCCAGCTATGGCTGCCGGGACAGGAAACTTAAACTAGTTCTAGTGCGAGTAGCTTGGCTTCTAGCCGGGCCATAAACTGGGACACTTGTTGCGCCAACTTGGACACTCGATCGCTCGATGGCTGGATGGCCGGATGACTTGGAGGCTTGAAGGCAATCAAACTGGGCAGCAGTCTCCGGGATGACAAAAAGACAAGGCTTCCCACGCAACAGTCCCTCCCATTTCCCATTTCCCATTCCCTCTCTGGCTACAAATAAAAAAAAAAAAACAAAAAGAGAAGCCAACCTAAATTGTCTTAATGGACCATGAAGAGCCCGCGGAGATACCAAGAGACCCAAACCCCTCGAGCAAAAAAATAAAAAAAAAAACCAAGAAACCGAAAATATACCTGATACTGCAGAAGCAGCAGGCGCGTAAATCTAAAAACCGCCCAATTAAACAACAACAAAAAATGTATATAAAAAAGCAAGGCGACACAGAAAACCAAATCACCTCAGCGAGGAAGAAAGGCACCGAAAGAGTGGAGCAGGAGAAAGGGGGCCGGCGGCAATGATGTTGGCGTGGATAAGCCCAAAAGAAAGTTTTCTTTCATTGACAAAAATTTCTTACTTTTGACTCTCGTCTTTTATTTTCCGCCGCGTGCAACGAACTTGGCCCGCGTTGGCCGCGGGGCAAAAAGAGATCTTAACCCATTAAGATGCCGGGCCAAGAAGCTCTAGATAAATGTTGTAGTTGTTGCTGTCATGATGGAAACATTATATCGTTACATTATTAGATATAATTTAAATGAGACTGTGGAATTATTTAACTGGGAAAATAAGATGTTTTATCTTAATTTTGAATTAAATTAATATAGGACTTTCCTGGACCAGATTCAGTTGCAATTTATGTTAAAGAAAGCTTCCAATAGCTGAATTTGTACAATAACTTCGTATTTTATAATTTCATTAAGTGAAAATACTAATTTTGAACAGTTTTCCTATAATTTTGTAAGAACTAAAGGGTTTTATGCTTTACTAAGATCATAGGAAATTGTTTTGAAGATGGAATAAAAAGATGAAACTTTTAAAGAAAGATAGGAGAAATCTTGTAAACCATACAGCTTAAATAACCCGGAAAACCCTCTAAGAATTTCTAGTTATAGTTTTCTTTTTACTTATAGATTTCCTATACATTTAAGCGATTTCCCTTTACCGAATTTAGCGTGTTAACCATTTGGCCCATATTGCAGCAGTTTTCCATTCATCGCGTTAATGGGTTAATGTTGCTGCTGCTGACGCTTTGGCATAGTTACAGTTTTCCGATACACGAAATTGACTTTACATATTTCAGGCAGCAGTCGATGTAACAGGTTGTTGTTGCTGCCTCTGCCTCTGTCCGCTGCCTCTTTCACTCGCACACACACAAATACATTTTGAAATGCTGCGCCTGCGCCTGCGCCTGCATTGGCGTCAGCGTCGCTGCTTATACCTGTTGCTGCCGTTGTTGCAGTCGCAGCATCGATGGGGCGGCAGAGGCTGCTGGTTTTGTTTGATCTTGTGTCTTATTGTTGCGCGTTGTCGTGTATCTTTCTGCCTGTTATTTGTTGCTTTTCCTCTATCCTATCGCTCTCCCTCTCTCCTCAGCCTCCCTGCCTCTCTCTTGCTCTCTCTGGTTAAATTTATTGGCGCATATAAATGCCTCAAAATTGATGTTATTGTCGTTCGATATTCCTTTTCTCTCTCTATCTCTCGCTCTCTCTCTCTCTCCTGCCTGTGTCTCTTTCTCCTTGTTTTGGAAATTGATTTTTACTTGTATCTTTATGGCCATGGTGTTTCTTCAGCGAGGGAAACCCGAAATGGCCTGGAAAATGGAAAAGCAGAGACAAAAGGGGAATAAATATAAGGCCGGGTGGGCGTAGCGCTGACAAAGTGGGCGTACCAAAGAGAATAGAGCAATTTACGGATCGAAGGGCAGCGGCTGCTGAGAGCTAAGGAAAAAAGGGGCAGCAATGAGTTAATTTCGAGTGGGCCGGACCCAGGGATCTTAACTCGAGTTACGTGGGCTTCCCTACACGGTTCAAAAATTTATAGCTATCCTGTTAAGAATAAATTTTGCCAATTTTAAATTGTTTGATTGGGGTATTAAGTCATTAAAGGACATGAAATACATATATGTATCTGGCAAGGATCTTTACTGCTTAAAATAAAGCTAAATTCGCAGCTTAACTTATAAAAAACAATATATAATAGTTGCAATGGCAAATATAACTGTAAAACTCACCATTTACATATGCCAGCAGATGTATGTATGTATATGTGTGTTTTTATTCCAATCCGAACCTCCTTCTCGCTCGATCCTTCTCCTCTTTCAAAACAAATCACAAACATTTGCACAGCGCATTCCAGGGATACACACACACACGCACACACTCGCGAGCTTGTCTTGCGGCTAATTGTTTAAACAGCGCAAATTATTCTTCACACTAGTTTTATTTGTTTGTTTGTTTGTTTTACAACAACTCCCCGTTCCCGCGCGCGATCACACACACACAAACGCAACGCAACAACACTCACGCACGGCTTTCGCGAAGTCGCTTATTTTTCTTGTATGTATCTTTTATTGGCCCGAGTTTTCCTGCCCTTTTTGGAGAGCCCCGTTGCTGGTTTTGCGAATATTTTGGCACCGCAAAAGCCTCGGAAAAGGCGGATTTAGCCGGTGTCAGTTACATTTGGTGAAAACGCACTCGCTTTGGTGCACACAAACATAATTTTTGCGAAAATAAACGGCAAACAAAACAAGGAATTAATTAACGTGCGCAGACGCCAGGGGCTCAAAGGGTGTACAAAATTCCATATTTCCTCACTGTTATTCTTGTTACAAGTATTTTTGTCATCACATCCTGATGTTTTTAACCGGCGATCAGTTTGTTGTATTGAGTTGTTATTGACGAACGAAAAACATGAGCAAATGTTAAGCCAACTTGCCAGTTAAGCCAACTTCAAGAAGGCATATTTGGTAATAAAATTATGTTTAATACGGTTATCAATTATGCACTCAAAAGCCGACGAAATTCTTGAGGAATCTTAAGTTTGTTTTTGCGAAGACAACGAAGAAACCCGAAGCCAACCGAAGATTTTCAACTGAAATTGGTGAGGATGTAGTTGAAAAGATATCAAAATGTCATAGATATTTTTTATGATGTTTTTATACATTTTGTTTTGGTCACTCTGAATTGTTGCTTAACATTTTACATCGTACACGTCTAAAGTGAAATTTTACACGTTTACATTTAAATGAAGGGAGTAAAATTCAGTAACAGATCTCTCATCTAGACAGAAAGAGAATAAATTAACAGAATTTATTGCATTACGATCATTAATAATTAACACAATATTATATATTATATATATATATAATTGCTGTGTTAAAACAGCGAAGTAATTCCTACATTCATTACAGTGTCACAGGTCAGTGTTGCCAACTTAGCTTATTTCATCTTAGATATCGTTTTCATATGTCGACACCAAGTCAGCCACTTTGAAATCAGCTGATCTCCAAATATCGATAGTTTTTGCTCAGTTTTTGCCGGCCGCTTCTCTTATCTTTATATTATTGTTTAAATTTAAGTTAATATATAAATTTTATATAATAACAACTTAATAAACCGAAGTCTAAATGGTGCTATGCAGGTTCTTCCAACAGGGCTCCTGTCGATATGGCACCAAGTGCAACAACGAGCACTTTGATGTGAAGTGAGTGAAAACGAAAAGTAAACAAAACTAAAACACAATTAACGATATTTGTTTTAGGGTATATCTCAAGGCGGACATGGAGTCCGCCATCAATGGCAAAATGTGGCCCTTTTCCGCTTACGGCCCGTTCAAGGACAAGGCCAACTTCCCCAACTTCATTGAAGATCAGTCATTCGAAGAGGTTCGCTTTATGTGCTATGAGGCCAAGCGCCAGAACAACTTCGAGCAGTTTCACCAGCAGTTTAATCGGGAGGTCCAGGAGGCCACCAACAAATGAAGACCATGCTACAGATGTCGCCCCAAATTCTGGACACAATGATCAAGATATACGAGTCACCGGAGGGGGCCAGTGTCACGTCTGCTCCGCAACAGTCCAATAATATATTCGGTGCAGCCGCTCCAGCTCCAAATGCATCTGCATCCTTATTTGGCAAGCCCACGTTGACCACGGGAAACATTTTCGGAGCTGCCACTGCCCAATTAAACAACGCTGGTAGCATTTTCGGCGGCTCAATGGCGACTGGCAACCCGGGCACCAGCATTTTTGGCAATCCAGCTGCCGCCGCACCAGCACCAAATGTTTTTGGACAGCCACAGCAACAACAGCCCCCACAGACTGCGCCTCAAGCATTCCAAGGAGGCAACATCTTTGCACAGACCGCGGCTCAGGTTCAGGCACAGCCGGTGAATCCCAATCCCTTTGGGGCTTTCCGGCAACCGGAGGAATCTTTGGTCAAGCGGCTAATCCCAATCCAGGAGGATTATTTGGACAGGCGGCACAGCAGCAGCAGCCACAGCAACAGCAGCCTCCCGCTGGATTATTTAGCCAGGCGGCTGGATTTCCAAATCAACAGCAACAGCTGCAGCAGCAACAATTGCAAATGCAGCAACAACAGCAACAGCAAACAGCAGCAGCAGCAGCTAATGATGCAGCAGCAACAAATGCACCAGCAACAGCAGCAACAGGTGGCCAGTGCAGCTCCATCCTTGGCTTACAGCAAAATGGAAGAACTGACTGCCGATGAAATTGAAGCCTTTAAATCTGAACAGTTCTTGCCAGGCCATTTGCCCTTCAAGCCGCCGCCACGAGAACTTTGTTAAGCTATAATTTTCAGTTTTAAGTTAATGTATATATTTTTGAATTCTTTATTTTAATGAATCTTATGGAATTACGAACCCAAACTAGCTCTTCCTTATAAAGTAATTAGAACTAACCTAATGCATCATCATATTGAGACGTTCCATATTGATGGAGTAGACCGCATGGGAGCCAATCAAGTTGCGATCCTGAAAGGCTAGCTGGCAGTCCTTAAGGGTGATCACTGTGGGTTCGCTGGGAAGGCTATTAAACAAATGAATATAAGATTCAATAAATTAGAAAATAAGAAGGAATAACACCACTTACACTTCCTCGCAGGCGGAGAGAAAGACCATATCGTCATTCTGTCGCCGCATAAAGTTATTCAATTCCTTGTCCAGCTCTAGCGGTGTGTCATCCACCTTCTGTCGGGTGACTGTGTTGCGCAGCGACGGATCTCGCAGGGCAGCACCCACATCATAGTAATAGTTGCCCTCACCGCTGGTCTTGTAATGCTTGCGCTTCTTAATGATGGCTGCCAGCAGATCCTTGAGCAGCACCTGCACGGCCATGGCCACGTACTCTGCCACGCTATCGTCGACGGAGACGAGACCGATTTCCCAGGCACCAATCAGGAAGCGGCCCATAATGAAGCCGGCGTCAGGGAGAAAGAGTTCCTGGGCACAGTACCTCTGCGATGGCAGCTGCTGCTGCCCGGCCTGGTCTCCTCCACTGATTGTCGGTGGCGGTCGGATCACCTGCATGTTGTCCTCGGTCACAAAGTCCAGCATCTCGCATAGCTCAAAGTTGAGGCGTTCAGTGAAGGTGCGCGAGCTCCTCTTGCGCGCTTGCTGCGATTCCCGCTGCTGCTGCTAGTTTGCAGCGTTGACGGCGGATTTTCCACGGGGGCGAAGGCATCGATCTTGTTGAGCAGCGCCAGCAGAAACTGATTGTGCAGATGCAATTTATCCGGGGAAAGTATTTTCCTAGACTCGGCGTCGAACTCCTCCTTGCTCCAGCGGCTGCGAAACCAGTTCTTCATGTTGGCCCGGTATCGCTCCCAGTTGTCACCTAGAGCCACCACCAGGGCCTCCTTGGTGGACAGCACTCTGTCGGTCAACATTTGCTTGTAATAAAACGAAAAATTAACAAAGTGGAAAGTTTGGATAAAAAATGAAAACAATTTTTAGGATCAGCTGCTTAGTGTGACCGTTTACAGAGGTCATAAAAAAGCAAGAGCGGTCGAGTATTTTTAAATTTAAATATTAAAAAATAATCGAAAAATATTCTATAATTTCGAATTAAATCTATATTAAATCTAACCCACAGATTTTTAGAAATTAGCATTTTCTCTTTCCGATCTCATTCACAAACACTGGCTTTATATCGATAGGGGCGCCTCCCACCTATCAATGAATAGCCCGAGAGAAAATATTCCTATTGACATTTAAGCAATTGTATGAAATGGAATTGACATTCCAAGCATTTTGGTAGTTGTTTTATCAAAATCCGTTCAGTCGTTCAAGAGAAAACCCCACTTTTGCATTTATTTTCATAAATGTTCCTACGAAGAATAAATATATCTGGCAGCACTGCCTGCCTAAAGTTAAGTCAATTTGATTTAAACTTTATGGTTAAATCTATGCAAACTGAAGATCGTAACATTAACGGGATTGCAATTCTGAACATTTTGATCCATGTTTCGTCAAAATCCGTTCAGTCGTTCATAAGAAATCCTGACTTTTTCATTTATTGCCGTAAATGTATGTATGTACATATGTGTGTATGTTCGACGAAGGATATTAAATAAAAAAAATTTATTTAAACTTAATGGTAGGACGTATGCATGCAAAAGCAATAAAGGGCATCGCAATTCTGAACATTTTAATCCATTATATACTAGTTAGAGTATATAGAAGACCAGCTGCAAAGTTTTATTTAGAGAGCTTTAAATATGAGGGTCTATTTTGCTTATTATTGGACAGATAGACAGATGGACAGGCTAGATAGACTCGGTGTTGATGCTGATCAAGAATATATGTATATACTTTATAGGGTCGGAAATAATTTATTACTGCGTTGCAAATTTTGACTTGAAATCATATTCCAAAGCAAGGGCATTGAAGCACTAGATTTGAGAAGCAAATTTTCGAAATAACATTTAATAGTCTGCTCAATAAATGATATCGTTATTCTAAGCAATTTGGTAGATGTTTCATCGAAATCCGTTCAGTAGTTTTGGAGAAATTAACATTTGAATTACTAATTTATATACTAAGGAGGCATGACTATGCACCCCTGGTACCCAACTGCAATAAATGAAAATGTCGGATTTCTCATTAACGACTGAACGGATTTTGATGAAACATAGATCAAAATGTTTAGAACTGCAATGACGTCTATGGGGCGTCTTCTTTGCATATGTTAAGCCATAAAGTTTAAACCAATTTTTCTTGTTTTCGGCAGGCAGGGCTGCGGGATATACTTTTTTTTGCCAGTACATAATGGAAATAAATGAAAAAGTCAGGATTTCTTATAAACGATAGAACGAATTTTGACGAAACATGGATCAAAATGTCAGATTCAATCCCGTTAATGTTACGATCTTAGTTTGGATAGATTTAACCATAAAGTTTAAATCAAATTGACTTAACTTAGGCAGGCAGTGCTGCCAGATATATTTATTCTTCGTAGGAACATTTATGAAAATAAATGCAAAAGTGGGGTTTTCTCATGAACGACTGAACTGATTTTGATAAAACAACTACCAAAATGCTTGGAATTCAATTCCATTCATGGGGCAGTATATTTCATACAATTGTTTAAAAGTTCAATAGGAATATTCTCTGCGGGCTATTCATCGATAGGGTGTGGGAGCGCCCCATCGATATAAAGCCAGTGTTGTGATTGAGATCGGAAAAAGAAAACGCTAATTTTAAAATCTGTGGGTTAGATTAATAGAGATTTAATTCGAAATTAATTTTTCCCTATCGTTTGAGATACCGTCAAGCTCGCACGCGTTTACTTAAGGGCGTAAGATTTTTGTAAAAGTTACCGTTGATTTTGCTGTGGGGAGGGGCATAACATTCCGCCGTGATATATACTAAAATAATCTAAAAAATGGTAATTTTCCCTGATTTAGATGAAAATCCCACCAAATTGTTTTGAATGGCTTCTCCATTTATTGGCAGTCCCTTTGCTTAATGTTTATTCAACATTTTGCTATTTATATTTAATTTAGTATTTTCTTCACAAGGTTCCATGGTCTGGTTCAGCGAGTGGTTCTCTGCTGGTTCCATTTTCATAGTTCGCGCCTTAGCTGTCAGCCCAAGTACACCACCCACTGTTACTCGATTTTCTTTAATATTTCCTTGTTGTTTTAATATATCCAAATGTCAAATACTTTCAAACCCAGTAAAAAACAATAGTAAATTCATTTTTTAGCATTTAGAAACTTTTTTTATTCGAATTAGTGCCTCCCCTCTATGTACCATTTTTCCACCGTTCCATTTCGGCGCTAACTCATCGACGCTAATTTGACGGACATATATTAAAACCATTCTTTTTTAATAAATAAAAAAAATATTATGATTACAGAAAATGTATATTTATCAATAAATAAGTGAAGAGACACACAAACATATATTAAATGGGTACAAAAATAAAAAAAGGGAAAGTTTTACAAACTAAGATCCGATGATAAAAAGGCTTTCTAAAAACCGGTTTACAAAATTTGAGAAGTAAATAATTACTACACAGATCTATTAATAAATATTGAATAAAATATTCCTTTGGAATTTGGAGCTTTTAGCCCAGGTCCGCGTAAATACCATGAAGTGGTAATAAAATAATATAAATTGCGACAAATCTTAACTAATTAACGCGATTCCATCGCCATACGGTACTGTCATCGCAAACACAGACCAAAATGGACCCATCTTTAGAGAACGATGTCTGCCGGATGGTGGAGTTGCTCTTGGGATGCACCAGTTGGCTGCACTTGGTCAGATTCGGGTCGTTGCAGTCCAGTTCCCACACAAAGGTGGTGCCCTGTTGATTCCCCAGGGCCAGTATCTTTTGCCAGGCGTTGAAGGCAAAGCGAACGAACCAAATCTCGCACATCTTGTAGTCAAAATGATGCAGCACCGTGGTGGCCGACTCCTGCGGCTGGATCTCCTCCAGGGGGCTGAGAGTTTGCCCGGCTTCCAGCAGACAATCGAATTCTCGCAGGATTTGGAAAAGACAAAGTCACCGAACCACTGAACACAATCCACATAATTGCGGTGTATATCGCGCGTGGAGAAGTCAGGGAAGTGCTCCTTGATTGTCGGAAACGGTGCCGTATTCTTGTTGGGACTAAAACCAGAGCTCAGCTCGATGGCCTCCCTTATGTCCGGTTTGTCCAGTCGCCACAGTTTCAGCGAGTGATCCATTCCACTGGACATGATGCGATCGCCGCGCAAATCAAAGTCAATGGACAGCACCTCATCGCGATGCCCTTCAACGCCACCAAACACGGCTACGCACACGTCCGACTGAATGTTCCACAACCGCAGCGAGTGATCCTTGCTGCCGGACAGCAGTAGCTGCGGTCTCACGGGATGAAATTTGAGCTCGTTGATGGCGTGTCCATGGCCAATGTAGTTCTTGCTGCACTGATGCTTTACGGGATTGAAGATGCGAATAACGCCACGGTAACCAGCCGCGGCCAGTACAGGATCACCGGTTTCGGCGTCATACGACCAAGCGCACGTATAAAAGCTTTCATCGGTCTAAAAATAAAGAATTTGAATAGAAGTCAAGCCCTTTTAAGCAACGCACACCTACATCGGGATCTGCGTAAACCTGAAGCAGTCGAATGCCTTCACAGGGCTCGTCCTCGATGCTTTTTCGCATTCGTATATGGAAACCCGGTCCTTGCCCACAGTGGCAAACACCTGCGGCTGATTTCTGTCCAGAAATGGATTAAACTGCACCCCAAAGATTGGTGGTTGTGGTCCTCGCGCACATGACAGCTGCAAGGCATTATGGAATTAGATTGGTTGGTAAAATCCCACCTACTTCTCTCACCTGTATTTGTAAAGAGGTGGCACCATTTTCGGAGCCTTTGCCCGTCGGCACAGGCGGTTTAGCTTGCGCGTGTTGGGCGATTTACTCCTGGTGGTCGTTGTGGTGGTGCTGAACAAGCTGGCGGAATCGTCCCTATCCACGGAATTGGCTTCGTTCTCATCCTCCTCCGGGCCAAAAATATTGCCGGCACTTGTTGTTGCGGGAGTTGAACCTGTTTCTGGCGGAGATTGATTCGTTGAATCATCTTCTGCGTTTTGCTCTTCCCTGGGGAATCCGTTTCGCTAGGATTGGTTTCTGTCATCATTGGTTTAAACCTGAACAACTTATTTACAAGTTTTCTTTTGTTTACAATTAGAAGATTGCCGCCAGTGTAACCGCAGCTACACTCCACAAAAATACCAAGATAAATGTAAAAAAATACTAAAAAAGTTCTTAAAATTCGAATATATTTAAACCTATTTCAGAGATAATTGCTTAATCTACTTCTTGGTGGGCGCATTTTTGGCGGCCAATAGCTCGTCCAAGTAGGCCTCCACCTCCTTGTGCGCCTTGAAACTGTGCTCGGTGCGTGAGACAGCTTCGTGGGCAATGATACTGCGCAGCAGTTCCGCCTTGGCTTGGACGAGTTGCATCTGCGCCTGCTTCAGTTTGAGCTCGTTTGCCAGTTGGGACCCAGCTTAAGTTCGGCGGCGTCCCTGAGCAGGGAGCACTTGCGCCACATCAGTTCTACCAGCTGCTCCAGGCTTCTGCGATGTTCCTCTTCCAATTGCAATATCTCTTTCTGATCGGCGCTCAGTCCGGCTTCCTGGGCGAAATCATCTGGAAACTCTTCGCGCATCTTGTCTCCTAACTCAGCAATCGGTTGCAGAGAGCCTCTCAGCTGGGAGAACAACTTGTCGCGTATAGTTTTGCGATCAACGTAGCTCAGAGGAGGGAAACTGCTGGCATCCGGCAGACCTGACATAACAAAGAGTTAAGTTACTCTCTAAAGAGTTGGTAACTTAGTAATTACCTAGCACTTGTTCCTTGTCCCCTTCGCTCTCGCCCAGGCGCATGAAGTCCCCAATGGACACAATTTGAGGACATTTTTAGTTTGCGGACTCTGATCGCGACCCAAGTTCAGCCGCGCAGCTCGTCCAGCACTAGTTTCAGCTTAAGCACCCTTTTCAGTTCGATATTGCGGGCTTCCAGCAGATCTTCTGAATCTGAGGCTAGAATCGTAGTGGAGGGATCCTTCATGGCGAAGTTGGGTTAAAATGCCGGAATTTATTGTTTGATTCGAAATGGCATCAGCAGATAGTGTGACCAGAAGCGGAATACTTAAAATCATGAAAGTAATGTTTAAATTGTTTTTATTTTTCTAAGTTTTTTATTATTTTTAAATGTTTGACCTATATTATAGAAAAATAGTTACATTTCTTTAACGGAACAAAGACTTTTTATTATTGATAAACATTTAGTTAAGATTTCGAAAATATCGCCTAGGCAATCGCAAGCAAGATTGATATTATCGATAGTCATCAATTAATTCACTTTCTAATGTTTTTTTAAAGCGACGCGCTAGAAAAGCTTACCGAAGCATGTTAAATTTTGCTGGAATTACGCATCTTGTGCAAAATCATCCATATTTGGCCACCGTTGCATTGGGTGCTGGCACTATTTTAGCATCCGAGGTGATCTGGAGAGTATTAAAGTTTCCCATGGGCCTAATTGGAAAAACAAAGCCACTCCGTGTTCACGAAGTTGTGCTTTTCAACGAATTGGGCGAGACCTGTTCGTCCCTCACTACAGTAATATAAGGTCGGAATCGGAGGGATTGGTGGTGGCCGAGCTCACGTGCGACAACCCGTACTGTTCCTTCAAAGGTCTCAGCAAAATGGTGGAGCAGATCGATAAGGCGGTGTACGCCATGGACGTTGCCATCTACACGTTCTCTTCAATACCTTGTGCGAGGCATTGAAGCGAGCCCTACAGCGCGGCGTCACAATTCGGATCATCACCGACAATGAGATGGTCTCCGCTTCCGGCTCGCAGCTCAGCCATTTGGCTGACTTGGGAGTGCCGGTGCGCGGACATGGCACCTCTACCTGATGCACCACAAGTTCGTCGTGATCGACGGCGTGGAGCGGGTGCAGGAGATCCAGCGGCTCAAAAAGCGCAAGTGGATGCAGGACACCTGTAGCGTCTTAATTAACGGATCTGTTAACTGGACGCGAATGGGATTTGGCGGCAACTGGGAGAACTGTATTATCACGGACGACAATGTGCTGGCGCACTCCTTCCAGCGGAATTCAATCGGATGTGGAAAGCTTTCGAAACATTCCTGTCGACTTTGCGAAGAACCCATTAGATTTAGATCTTAATAGATAATTCCGTATTAATACGGATGTACGTAAAAATATGATTTCAATTATGACCAGAAACAAATTACCAAAATATCAATGTTCTCAATATTATTAATGTTACAATTCTACTAATGGGTATAAACATACAACTGTTAAATCCACAAATTTTATTGTCTCTTAAAAATAATTCACCTTATATAGATCTATTTGCTTTGTTGTTTCAACTTGTCAGCACGCCGCGAAAATGTCTCCTTTAGGAAATTCAAACGTTCGATCTCTGACCTAATTTCCAAATACTCCAGGTAGGATACTCCGGATTTTAACAATATCTCCTGTTTAGTGTGAGCACACGAGCAACCTCCTTTTGTTTGCGCTGGAGAGCCATTAATTTGATAGACATGGCCGAATCCTTGGGAGCCTTTGACTTCTTTGCGCTCTTCGATTTTTTCGACTTCTGTGGGATATAGAACTGTTAAAATATCTTCCATTTTTGTTTTATTTACTTCATACTTTACTAATTTCCATTGTTTACTTTAAGATTTCCGCGTGGTGTTTTGTTGTGGTTACATGTGCGAAGAAGAAGAACGATGGCGGAAAAGTATTTTGGTGAAGTGGTATTTTTTGTGGCCACACTAAGTTTTGAGTATTTTTTTTATAGCTTGAAACATCTATTTATTATTTCTTGGAAGTTCTACGGGTGCATATGGTGTTATACTGATAGGTTTAAAATTATTTGTATAATTGTTTCATTTTTTTCACCTTAACTAAATAGTATATATGTGAGTCCCCTTTTGTACGCCCATGGCTGTGATATGCTGATAAGAGTGTGGTATTTTATGTCTATGCTCATTTTTGATATTTTCCCATTTCCCATTTGTGGTCACACCGGCGTCTACTATTTGTGAAATTCTCTCGATTTGTTGGAAAAATAAGTGAAAATGGGTTCTTCATCGTCTGGGAAAAAGCACAAGAAAGACAAGAAGGCCAGACATCGTTCGCGTTCGCCGGAGCACCATCAGCGCGGCACTGAGGACGAGGATGTGACCCTGGATCTCACCGACGACTCCGCGACGCGCCACAGACACCACAAACACAAGAAGCACAAGGAGTCCAAAGATAAGGAGCATCGTCACAGGCATCACAAGCACAAGGAGCGGGAGCGACCCAGCGAGGTCATCTCCCTCGAGGAATCGGACTCCGATAGTAAGTGTTTGTACCTTATCGGTAGCATGGTGCAGGCCAAGCTCAAGGACAATTGCCGCTGGCGGCGGATGCGGCAGAAAAGCGATTATATCTGATTATCCGGTCCGCCGAAGCCCGGCCATCGTCTTGGCGCTGCACTTTTCCACTTCTGAACGTACTAAACCGATCGTTGCGTTCCCCATTTCTATTATCTTTTGCAGGTGTTCCGCTACTGGAGCAGATTGTGAGTGGGAGGCAAGCAGAAGCGGCGCACTTAATATACTCTATAAGAAGCGAATCTATTGCTGGATAGTATTAGACAGCTCTAATCCGTTCCTCTTCTTTGCAGGTTCGGACTGTGTGGAGGTTCCGGTGCAGGAGCAGGCCAACAAGGTGAGGGAGTCCTCCCACCGCGACAGGGAACGTGACACTGGACGCGAACGTGATCAGCTACGAGAAAGGGAAAGAGAGCGTGACCGAGAGCGGGAGAAGGAGCGTGAACGTGATCACTAAGAGAGCGGGAGAACGGGAACGTGAACGGGAACGTGAGAAGGATCGGGAGCGGGACCGTGAACGTGAGCGCGAAAAGGAGCGCATTAAAGAGCGGGAGGAGCGTGAAAGAGAGCGCTTAAAGGAGCGAGAGAAGGAGCGCGAAAGGGAACGTGACCGGGAGCGCCTCAAGGAACGAAGCGAAAGGGAGCGTGACCGTCAACGCGAAAGCGAACTCACCGCTCCACCACCGCCCCAAATCTCCAAGCACGCCGAATATGAATCCCGGCGTGAGCGGGAAATTGAGCGTGAACGGGAAGGCCGGAAGAGGGCTGGCAGGGAGAGGGAACGCGAACGCAACCGTGAACGCTCTCGATCCCAAACGCCGCCCTCAGCGACACGAAAGCCAAACTCCTCGCGTTCCTTCTCTCCCATTCCCGAGAACGGAGCTGGTGACGTTCTGTCCGTTGAGGAAACAAACAAACTACGCGCCAAACTTGGCCTGAAACCTTTGGAAGTGGAGAGTGGCCCCAGCAAGGTCACCCCCACAGCTGGAAGCAGTAGTCATGCGGAGAGTAAGAGACCAGCTGGTGAGGCCGATCTCTCCTCCTACAAGGATGAGTGGGGTGAATTCCTCCATAAGCCGGCCGACAACCTCAAAGAGAAGAAGGAGGCGGAGAAGCTGCGCGAGAAACTGAAGCAGCGCAAAGAGAAACGCTTCTTAGAGGAGCGACTGGCACGCATTAAAACACTCGGTGAGTCTGACGAAGAAACAGACAATGCGGCCAAATGGGTGGACAGAAACAAGCGAGTGGTTGACGAACGCGAAGAGGCCAAGCGTAAGGCCAAAGAGCTGGAGGAACTGGATGAGGCCTTTGGAGTCACAGAAATGCTCGAAAAAGAGAAATCCAAGGTGCGCCAGCGGGCCTATGGCGATAACAACCTAAAAGGTCTGCGTGTGGAACACGACATGGATGACTTTGGCGAGGGCGCACTGTTATTCTCACACTAAAGGACCAAGACGTGCTCAATGAGGAAGAGGGCGACACCTTAGTCAATGTCAACATGCTGGATGATGAGCGGTACAAGAAGAATGTGGCAAACAAGAAGCAGAATCCTCTCAGCTATGGCTACAATGTCTATGAGGAGCAATACGATGAGTTGGGCAATCCCATCGAGCGGTCGGTGCTGGAAAAATATGATGATGAGATCGAGGGTCAGCCGAAGAAGCGCAAGAACTTTGTGATTGGAGAGAACGTAGAGGAGGAGCGGGAACATAGGCGCAAGCTGCTCGAGATTAAGACGAAATTGGCTGGTAAACGTTTGGAAACCTTGGAGGATACCAATCTGCAGCTGGCCTCGGATACATACAGTACCGAGGAATTGGCCAAGTAAGTTTTTGCTTAAGATATTGAAAGATTTTGATTCTTACACAATTTTTTCCCTATTAGGTTTAAGAAGCCCAAGAAAAAGGTGAAGAAACTTCGCCAAAAACTAAAAGCCGAAGATCTGGAGCCTTTGGTTGAGCCGGGAACTTCTGGAAATTCCTCAAACTTTGGTAGCCGCCATGGACGTTATCGTGATCACGAAGATGCAGAAATGGAGGACATTAAGCCAGACATAAAAATAGAAGGAGAGGATGACGACTTGGAGCGCGTCCTATCGAAAGCTCGCAAGCTAAAACAGAAAGAGAATATTATCAAGAAGCCCATGGTCATCGACATTGAGTCAATTCAGAGAGACATTAAGCCAGAACCCGTGGAGGAAGCCAGCTCATCAGGTGTTGTGTTCACCGGTGCGGACGGTAACATTGTGCTGAATGCTACGGCAGAGTTTTGCCGCACCTTGGGCGACATTCCTACATATGGCATGGCAGGAATCGTAACGAGACTCCAACGATATGATGGACTATGAAAAGACCGAGAATGCTGAGGAGCACATGGATACGCATAGTGACGAGCCTAGCCATAGTCATGGCACTTGGAACTCCGTTAATCCGGATGAAGTTATGCAGCCTGCTGATTTGGATAATCTGGGCGATGACCTGGAGGATCGTGCCATATTAGATGAGGAGCCCGATGTGGGAGCTGGCGTGGCAAATGCCCTGCGATTGCTCTGTCCAAGGGATACCTTGAAAAGGAGGAGAAGAACAGGCCGAGCAACACCAAAATGGCCCATCTGCAGGCCAAAATATTCCATCGAGGACAAAGCTGCCGGGTGGGTTGAAGATTCTTTTACGATAATTTAACTCTTATTAATATTGATTTATTTATTCGCAGGGAGGACGACAAAATTGGACGTCGCGATCGGTTCCAACATGGTCCCATTATGGACTTCAAGGACAAGGAGACCTTCAAGCCCAATGTCAAGCTGGACTACATTGATGACAATGGTCGCATATTGAACCTCAAAGAGGCTTTCCGCTATTTGTCACACAAGTTCCATGGCAAGGGGCCGGGCAAGAACAAGATTGAGAAGCGTCTGAAGAAAATGGAGCAAGATGGGGTTAGTTAATACTTTAAGTAACTAAATCTGTTTAAAAACTAAATGAAAAACGTCTTTCTTGCAGTTGATGAAAACCATGAGCTCGACGGATACACCCTTGGGCACTCTGACCATGTTGCAGCAGAAGCAAAAGGAGACCAAGACCGCCTATGTGGTGCTCAGTGGCAGCAACAAAAACGCTGCAGGTGTCAGTGGCTCTTCGATAGCCAAATTTAAGTAGAACGGAAGAGGGAAGGCAGGATGGATTACAATTACAATTACCAAGATATAACCATAACCAAATGCAATAGAAACTTCCTACCCAAATATGTAATTCTCTTGTATCTATTTATTCAAATACACTTTGGATTTATCTCAAAATGCTGATCTGCAGCGGTGAATCTCCTCTTGCATGGGTCACTGGAAGCAGAATTTAGAGAGAGTATGTTTCAGAAAGTAAAGTCAGGGCTTAACTTACATTTGAAAGATTTGCCAAGCATGGTTCTCTTCTGGTTCTGAACCATTCAAAGCCAGGACCAGACACCATTGTACACCATATTTCCGAAGACAAGTTGTTAAAGTAGCCTGCACTTACTATCCCCATATCGTATGGAGTTTACAGTAACTTCGTCAACATTTGGTGGCGTCAATGAAATACCCTTGTACAATGTCGTCTTATTGCCTTCACGCCAAAGTCCAAATTGCCGTAACCGAAGATAAGGGCTTGAGGAAGCCCCCGATTCCGGTGAGGAAATTCGCTGATCCCTCGTAGCCCAACGGAGTCTCGCTCCACACCTTAAACTCGGGTCGAACATAGCTCTTATAGCCGCGCTCGAAGTACTCGTGAGCTCGCCAATCCTGGCTGGTGTTCAAATAATTAGCGGCAAACATGGACCAGGTCATGGCCGGTCCCGATTCTCTTGTCACATTTGCATATATATTCAGATCATTCAAATGGGTCCGGCTTTAGGATGGCATTATATTTATTAAATGTGAATTAAATAGAATTGAGTCTTACCTGGTATCGAATCTAAGAGGATATCCCAGCAAAATGGTATCTGCTTGCTTGACAATGGTGTTCGGAGCGTAACCCTGGTGCTGTGGATGATAATCCAATTCGTCATCTTTTAGGATTACTAACCGATCACTTAATTGGCGCCACTTTTCAAATAGTTCGGTGCTTGTATTGCCACACATTAGGCCCGCCCATTCGGCGAACTCCAAAGCATCTTGGCCACAGCGTTTGTGTAGACATTATCATCCACATTCGGGTGATCCTCATCCGGACCCATTAGTTTAAGAAATGACATAGATTCTGCTCTCTTCGCAGGTGGCTCTGCTCACCAGGAACTCCGCCACCTCCGATGCTATGGCCAGGCTGTGTCACAAGTCCAGACATAGTCTATCGATTGGGCGAAAAACTTTTCCATGGCAAAGATATATCGGGAGATATGTGAATCTCCTGTTGAGCCACCTCCGGGCAACAGGGATTTGTGACCTCCATCCCAGTGTAGGCACTCTCCCAGGGAAATCTGGCTCCCTTATAGCCTGTTACATTAGCGTTATATCTCGCACCCTCCAAATTCCTGAAGCGATAGCCAAGCACATCCTTGCCATACTGTAAGCTGAATTGGGTTACTATTGGCAGCATCCAGATCTCTGTGTCCCAAAAGTTGTGGCCTTGATAGTCCGCCTCCAGATTGCCCCGTCCCAGTCCAGTGGGACTTAATCCATAGAAGGGTTCATTCTCCTGGTTGGTTACCAGCGATGGCAGGGAACTAACCAAATAGAAGATTCCAGCATTGACAATCTGAGATAGCTCCAGGACATCGTCTCCTTTTAACCCAATGGAGAATTCATTGTCCCAGAAATTGTTCCAGGCATCAGTGTGTTTTTTAAGAAGATTTTTGGGGCTTAACTGGAGCACATCTTGGAGTTCCTTGCGGGCCACATTTTCCTGTCTATCTATGGTTATAAGGATGCGATGTTGTAGCTCCGACTGCCAGGCGGGCCACTCCAGTTGCAGAGGGTGATCCAAGGATTCACTAATAAGATAAAAATCTCTTGCGGATTCGGTTGGAATTTCTCAAATTCCAGGATCTGTGTGCGACCTCGAAGGATGCGAAAATCTCCGCTGGATGATGAGCTGCCATTATTCAGTACCACAAACTCAAAAGCATCGCTGGGGGCACCAGGATGTTGTGTGAGTTTCAGGAACTGGGGAGCTTTAAGGAAATATATTTTTAGTTTGAAATATCAAAGAATTGGAGGGATTTAAATTAAATTAATATTGATTAATTATGGAAAACTCACAATTAACTCTCGAAGTACTAGAGGTAAGCCTGGTGGCCACCACCTCATAGACCAAAGCTCGATTGTAGTACCTGTGTGGATAGGTTCTCTGCTCCACTTTGATCCCAAGACTTTTATAGGTTGTGAGGATCGGAAATATCCATCCCTTAGATCCATTTCGTAGCTAGTTCCATTCACCTCCACATCCCCGCCAGAAGCACAGCCAAAGCGATCACAAACTTCGGTGCTTATATTCAGCCAGTTGGGAATCCGAGCTCTTTTGCTATTTCCACCGGGTCCATTGTAAACTCCATTCATAAAGATGGCATCTCCGAAGACCGTATAGCCCAGATGACCATTGCCAGGGTGGGCATAAAATTCAAGTCCGATGGAAGACTGTAGAATAAGATAAAGGTGTAAATTATCTATGAAATTATATTACAAAACTCAGGGTTTACTTTAAATATAAATTAATGAAAGGTTTAAAGTGGATAGAAGTAGTCTTGAAGTATTGATTGATACGATTATCAGACATCCAGTTAAACTTTATTAGGTATTAAGTGTATTTGTAATTCCCATATTTAATGATTTATATTGATTTATAGTTCTTATTCATAGTTTTGTTATTTTAATATTATTTACCTATAGGTTTTTAGTAAATATGCATCTGGCGTCTCAGCTAAGCCGCTCTTGAATATCACAAAACTACGACAAATAAAATTCTTTTCAGCATTATTTTCGCGATCTATCCAGCAGTGAGGTCCGAAGTATACTGATTGCGTTTTCTCTTTGGAAAATGAAAAACTCTTGATTTTGATAAGAGTTTGATAATATGATTTAATCTCATCGAGAGTGATGGGGTGATTGAGCTGAAGTAGTTTCCATGTTCATTTCTCATATATATGTAAGTGCGGTGCTTTCCCTGGGTCTTAAGTGCCTCCTAATCAGCTCACATTTGTTATGTAATTAATGTATTAAGTGATTAATTAATTGATTCGAATTCTAGTAGTTTTAGTATCTAATCGATTAGAAAATATAGTTCAGATTCTTAGATTAAAATGATTAAAAAACTAGCCTGAAGTTCCTTTAGTTTTATGCGTAAAGATGATATATATCTTAGAATTTTCAGGAACCTTGAAAAAAAGTTCTCCAAAATCGGGCAAAAACATCAGTTAGCTAAAAATATATGCCTTTGGGCATTGATCATAGTTTTTCCAATACTCTGCTCTGTCCAAAGGCAATTGGTAGTCTTCCCAAGCGCATGAAACTAATAAAAAGAGAAATACACACAAGTGGCATAGTTTTTATGGCATCGCACTTGAAGATCTGAATGGGTAGACAAGAAATCGACTTGGATGGGCTAAGATTATCAAGACGGAGATTAGGTCTGACCCAAGAGAGGATGCGAATGCTGCTGAATGGAGACACAATCATGGGAAAATATCTTCTAATGCGCGGAGGGCTAAAAAGGAAAACTCAAATATAAAGTACGTAAAGAATAAAAGTCATTAAAGATTGACTACTGACTGTCGTCAGGTGGCTAAGGTCTGATCTTTGTAACTGCTGGGTGGCCCTAGACTACATTCTTTTCACTATTTTTTCACTATAATTTTTTGTTTTGTTTTTATGATATTTTCATAATTCCTAGTTACAAGGTAATTATGGTCTTTGTTGTCGACTCTAATTACCTGGGAGTCAACGTCTGCCCTTTCCCACATCGGATGTTGGTTGGGCCATAGCTCTATTGAGCTTTACCCTTACTTGGATCTGCTTGGATATCACTGCCTCCCACTCCGATCTGAATATATATCCGAAATATTCAACGCCATCTTTGCTATCTGACAACGAAGCGTAACCAGGCAAAGAACCAACTGCTATAGCCGATATGCGTTCGTGACTAGAACCCCCATTTAAAGGGGGCACTATTACCCCAATGAACATATGTACACTATAATATTAAAGAAGGAATTTATTTAGTTCAATTAAAGTTATTTATTTATGTTTTTGAATATGTGTTATATGATATATTTCAAAGACCAATTCTTATATGAAAACAATTTCCTGCTCCTTAAAGTGAAATCAGTTCCTAAAACTTATATAGTTTTCGATACATCATCATAATTTAAATTTTTAAATTAAACTAAAAATACAAATATCTAAAACATTTTAAATCGAATGTTAATCAGAAAACTTGCATTGATTTGATTTAATTATTTCTAATATAATATAAATTAGTTTGTGTAAAGTATTCATTAAAGGTAATTAAAAATACATTAAATATGTTTAAAATCCTGCATTAGATAACCTTTTTATTGTTTATATTTTGAGTTTCTATTATTAATTTGCCTTTTATTACAGGAACAAATGCATGAATTTATTCTAAAAGCATTTCACTGATGCTTAATATTTTAATGCCATTTTTATGAGGGTTTATTTATATTTCAGTATTTTTAAACCTGTCAACAAAGATTTATGTCAAAGCAAGTCTTAATATATTTATTTGCTATTATTTCCAAATCTCTTTTTCTTTTCCCCAAATTTCCATCAACTTCAATCCTCTTGATACAATTTTCCCTAGTGTAGGCTGTATCTTTTCCTGTATCTGAATCTTATGGGGCTATAGCTCTCTTTCTTCGCCCATCTCCAAAGTTCGGCTCAACTGAGCTTGGCACTAATTTTAATGACGTTACGCCGCGATAGGTTTTCTGCTCAAGATCCATAAAGAAATGCTCAGGTGTTCGTTCCCCCAATTCCTTTCCTATAGGTAGATGGAGTTTTCCATATCTGTGGTTTGGGTTGGCACGAGATCTCCGTCGGCGAGTGTGTGGAGCCGAGGCTCCTCAGTGATTTACCCTCGTCCATTGTACCATCATCATCATCGTCATCATCATCATCATAGTAATCATCATCATCATCATCATCATCATCCCCCGCCACGTATGCACTCACATGCTATATAGTGGAGCATATTCACTGTTCAAGAAGTCAAAGTCGGAGCTATATATACATATATATATATATATCGCGATGTTGTCGCTTGCCGGAGCGTAACTGAAATATTAAAACAAATTTTTTCCGTTTCTATTTTTTTAGTTGTTGTTTGTATTTTGTGATGTCGGCTTTTGTTATTGTCGGCCATTTTGCTGGCGGTTTTGGTTTGGTTTGGCATCAGATTTTTTGTTTTCTTTCTTCTTGTTTTATTTGACGTGTTTTTCGTTGGCTTTTTTGTTGTTTTTTTTTTTTGCCAACCTGTTGGCCAAAAAGTCGCGTTGAGAAATTTACGCAACGAAGCATTGCCAATGAGTTTCCGCTTTGAGAAGGTATTGGGCTTAGTTGTTGCCATCCTAAGTTTATAAGGCCAAAAAGGGTAGAAATATTATTTATACATATTTAAGATAATATTTACATAAATCATATAGAGAAGGAAGGATTTAGCATTAAGAAATGATGATTTGAGGGTTTAAAGGTCCGATTCTGGTGTAAAATTTCTGGAAATCAGGGTTCTTCAAATATATTTGAAGCTATTGTTTGCCATTCTTTAAATTGTTAATTTATAAAAAGTATTGAAGAATAAAATAATGCTCATACGTATATGAGTTATTATAAGATGAAAAATATAATAAGGCTAAACACATAATTTGTTAACATAAAAATCATTATTCTAAAAACTTTTATACATATTTTTGTAAATGTTATTCTGAAAAGTCAAATACAACCTATGAAAACTAGATATAAAATGTATATAAGTTTAAGGCCTATTAAATTTATAAAATATATTTAATTTAATTATAAAAAAATAAAAATTAAATATGTTTATTATATTTTATTATTTTTAATTATTATTTTAAAGTTTCATAATTCTCTTATAAAATTATAAAACATTTTATATATCATCTTTCATATATCTTAACTATTAGTAATTATTCTTATCACTTTTCAAAATACAGACATTCTCTCTATTACCCCATAGATAATTCACACCACTTTCTAATCGAAATTATGGAATACATTTTGATTTTCAAACTATATTTCCCAGCCCCTTCCTCGTTACCCGCTGTGGCTTAAACATTTGGTCGCGTTTTAGGTATATATCTACACATTTCTTGTTTTTTTTTTTAGTTTTTTAGGCCCGAGTGTTTTTCTGCCTAATTTGTGAGCGAGTTGGTCGCTCTCGCCGAAAATGAAACGCGTGTGAAAATTATATTTATTGTGCGGCCACCCAGCCATTGTGTTACATACAATGTACCATGTACCCTGAGGAGACGGGACAGGGACACATTAATACAGGCAGCCATGGCAATCATGGGCTTTCCCCTGGCTTGACTTGGTTTGGTTTCTTTTTTTCTATTTTATCTGTTTTTTTTGGGCTTTTGGGTCCGTAGTTTTGGGTGTTTTCCAACTGTGAGCCCGGGAGCTGCCTAATTGTTGTAATTTGCCTAGATATTATATTTATTGTTTGCCGGATAATTATGATGATTATCTACGAAACGGAGTGTTTAAAACGTTTTCCGCCAGCCTGGGAACCGAAGGCCGAAAAGAAGTCGGAGACCAAAAAGACCCGTCGAGCATTTGCAACTCAATTATGAGCGGGGCACCATCACACCCGGCTTCTGGGTTGCTCATCCTCCTCGGTCTATGGATATTCAGCTGCTGCTTCTGCTGCTTCATTATGCACCTGACCATTCGCGCAATTTCTAGCGATAATTTGCATTATTTTGTGCGCACAGGTGGCGGCTGCAGGTACAACTACAACTACCACTGCTGGACGAGCCCCAGCAATAGCCATGGTTATGGGTTATGGCTGCGGCGATGTGGCCATCTTCTGGCTTATTCATGGCTGATCTCACGCGCTGAGCACTAGCTTTAATTACACTAGTTGGAGTAGTTTTTCGTTATTATTATGCATTCTTATCATTATAATTAATAGTTTTTCAATTACAAAACATATACATTTATTAAAATTGAGCATTTAAGTTTGTATATTGTTTATGATAAAACCTTAAAAGTATCTAAAGATAAGGTTGCTTTATAAACAGCTGTCTTTATAAACAACTATTGATGTAATTTAAAAATATATACGATTTTTGAGGTGTTTTTTAGATTATTTATATATATATTAAACCGATAGTTATATACATACGCTAATTTTAGGGTAAATCTACTTTTTTTCGAATATCATAACCAAGCCAAAAATTTATTAATTTCAATAGGGACAACTTTTCTATGTTAGTTTTTATTAGAATAATAAATCTGCTTACTCTTTTAAATTAAAAAGAAATCTAATTTTTGCAGATTTTGAGAATTTTAACCAATTTTAACCCCTTATAAAATTTTGAAATTTTTGAAAAAAATTAAATTTGTCCAGACATGGTTAGATCGATTCGGCTAATTATGCTGATCAAGAATATATATGTTTATGGGGTCGGAAATTACTATTCACTGATTACTTCTGACTAAAAAAATACCCCAAGGTATAAATATGCCACAATTATTTGAATATAAATATTAATACAAATTTAACAATTAAAATCTAAAAATAATTATTTGATTATCTTCCTGAATTTTGCAGCTTAGTGTTGCTTTTTTCGCTGACTGCGCTTGCAGTGTGCATTGTGCAGTGTCTGTGACCTTTTCGCGGCTGCACTCCAATTCAATTACTAGAGCTCTAGAGACAGAGTGAAAAAGAGAGGTGGAGAAAACGAGAAAGAGATAGAGAGAAAGAGATAGAGAGAAAGAGGGAGAGAGGGAGATAGGGGACCTGGGCTCTTGGTGGTGCAAAGATAATTATCAGCATGAGGCGCTGCTTTTGGGGATTGATATGCAAATTTTCATTTGCTTCATTTGTAATGCGTAAGAGTCATCCACCAAAAAAAAAAAAACTAAAAAACTAAACTAAAAGAGGACCATGCAATTGCATCTGTGGCAACGCTTGGCTGGCTGCTTAATTAAGGCAGGTCAGGAGGAGTTTTGCGGGATCGTGGGAAAGGCCACTCGCCATCCGGAGGACACCGTGTCGTATGCGTTATGCCCGCAGGTCTGAGGCTTTCAGAGCCACCACCACCTTTTCTAACTAATTTCCTCGAAACCTCTAAAAGGGGTTGATTAAACATTTGCCGTAATTTTACAGCTGCTAGTTGAGTTAATGCTCGAGCCGGGCCAAAACCAAGCTGTGGCTGTCTAAGCCAAGCGTAACCGCAGGCCAAAAAAAAAAATAAATATTAAAAAAAAAACGCACTTTGGTAGTATCTGAAGGAACGTATCTTGGCTCGCGCGCTCACTCACCGTGATTAGGGTTTTATGGAAAAACAGATTTCAATTATTACACCTGTTGCTGCTCGGTCACCGAGACCCCTCCCAAGATTTTCAACTTCTTGTCTTTATAACTTGGTCTATGTTTTCTCTTTTGTTATCTCTGCTTGAATTTTCATAAGTTACTTGAAGCGTGCTTCCTGCTACGCAGCTATGTACTCAAAGAAATCTTAATAATTTGTATATTAATTATACTTAAAGAAGAAAAAGAAAGCTCTTAAATATTACAAGATAAGGTAATGAATCTATACAAATTGCTAGGAATCTTAAGAATATATACATATAATAAGCAATATTCAAGGACCTTGTTTTTCCTAGAGTGTAGTTACTTTCCTGTGGCCTTTGAAGATGGAGTATCGATGAAGTGGCTTTGGAGCAAGAGAAACTCCCCCTAGATGGCCTGCTGGACAGTCCATTCAGTTGGTCCCAGCATCAGCAGCAGCATCCATTGATGAGGATCGGCCGGTGCCATCGGTTCATAAATATTTCTCGCTTCTCTTCTCAGGTAATCACAGGCTCTCGAGTTACCAGTCGCCATTTAAGGTGTGATCGGGATGGGTTTTGGTACATGAATCGACATCTCAACATTTCCACTTCGACTCCAAGTTCGACTTCTACTTCAACTTCACCTGCAAAAGGCTGCAACTGGTAGCCCAGGTCCCTCGATTCTTGGCCGCAACCTCAACACGTTTACGCATCACTGCCGCTTCTTTGAGTACTTTTTGTAGTTTGTGGAAATTGATTTCAGATTTTTATTGTTTTAGATCGACTCATATCTCACGTCATCGCGGCAAAAGGGGACTTGGCTTTATTGATACAGCCATTGGCCAATAATAGAGTTGTTATTGCACTTTAATTGAAGTCTTGTCTAAGGCGCCATTGCCACTTCCTTACACCTGGCAACAAGTCTGTGAAATTATGGCAGATGGACGATTGTAAATAGATATAGATATTACTTAAAAATAGATTTTGGCTGAGATTTTTTATGGAAATTATATGGAGATGTACAATCCATGATATTTAATGTAGGGAAATTAATAACTGAAATAATATCTCAAAGATATTATCAAGATATCAACAACAATTGATGATTATGGTTTATATAGCAGCTCAAATATTTCTTTTTTGGTAAGTTTTTAATATGATTTTTGTATTTTTATATATTGTCACAGAAATTAGACTTTTTCGTATCTTAAATATATATTAAAATAAACTGAATTGATTACTAAGGAGTTTTTATTTATAGATACTTATTAAGCTCCAGAGATTCCAGTTGCTTAAACCTAAAGATACTTAATTAACTCATAAATTAGAACTAGTTTTTGTAAAATCCTAATACTTAGAATATTTTTCACTTTCAAAATAATAAAAATAATATAATTCTTGTTTGAGTCATATTATCTATGTAAGAAAACCTCAAAATATTATTTAAAATTATATAATTTTACCCCTAGATTGTGTTGCTTAGTGTTCATAGAAAGGCATTAGCTAAGAATGTGCTTTCATATATATTTTGTGATAACTGTACCAAAGCTGGCTGCGTGCCTGGCACATAATTTCTTCACAGTTTTCCATTTACAGCGGCGGAAAACTGTTTGCATTTTGCAGCGGACCATATTGCATGTTGCTTGAGAGAGATAACAGTCTAAATTATTATCATACTTGTAGTAGCTAGGGTCGATCCGCTCCACTCCGCTCTCTCTCTGTATCTCTTGGCTCTTTGGCAACCTGTTGATGTGTTCTGCCTTTTGCACTTTTTTGATTTTCTGCTCCGCTGGCTTTTGATATGTTGTTGCATGTGGCAAGGCATCCTCCATCGAACTCAACTGTACCCCAATCCCAGAGGTCGTGGCGGATGGATCTCCCTTAAATCGTGGAAAATTGTAACGACTTTAAGTACTGTCAGCCACGGCGACACCCTGAAGGAAAACACGTGCGACACTTGCCTCGAACTGGAAATGGTCAACTAAGAAAAACTCTCTTTTTTCGTATTTCGCTATCATAGATCTGTCAAAGGCAGCCGGCCGTAACCAGAAATTCATATAAAAATACACAGAAAATAAAGTTTTTAAGGGAAATTGTAACAAATATTAAATAACAGAGGAAGTTTTAAGGCTTACCATGAGGAAAGATGCGAAGATCTTGTGAGGATCGAAGATACTTTTTAAGTATTTAAATTCAGGTGATTGTCTCTTCAATTGGTGATATTTGTTAAGAGTATTAACACACTATTTTTGGGTCATTTCAAAATCGAAATAAGTATTCAAAATTGTTATTTATATCTCTAATCCAAAAGATACTTTTTGTATGCTGTATTCTTTCGGTGTAGAACTAAAATAGAGCCCTGGAATAGTTATGAGTTGGTTATTCTGGTTTCAGTTAGGTCGTAAAATAATTGCCGCCTTCTAGAGCTGCGATAGAGCGCGACACATATCATTGCCCTGATGAACGGACTTGGACCTGGGATCACAAACAGAGCCAGAAACAGAAGCGGAGCCAGAAGAAGTGCTCTGTAATTATGATGAGGCCAATACAAGAAGCGACCCTAAAAGCGGCGTTCAACTTCAATTTTTTGTTGTATTTTTATTTTTATTCTTTTGAGTAATTAAGAAATCCTCTTTTCGGTTGAGTCTCCCTCCCTTTTTCATACCTCTTTCCTGGGTTTTATTTTATGTACGTATGTCCGGGGCAGTGGCAAAAGTTTCACAGAATTTTGTTCGTTTTGTCGCTGATGCGGCCTGTTTTTGATGACTTCACTTAAAGTCAAAATGGTCATATATACCGGTACATGTGGGCTATTATTATTATTTCTAGTATTTCGTTACCAAAAGTAGGCTTGTTTTTACATTACAAAAATAAATGAAGGTTCTACTTTGGTACTGGGATTAGGGTAGGAACCTGAGGATAGATGGTATGATAGGGTATCTCTTATTGCAGGTGCTTTTGAAAGAAACAATTATAAATTCATAAATATTCTGTAATTTTTTTAAAGGGAAAGAGATAAATTTTAACATAGTTATACCATTTTTATTATTAGATAATTCATTTTTTGGTTAATTCTAAATTGATGAATTTTAACAATGATTACATTGGGGACTAATCTTGGAATTAATTTCCTTTCACTTGTTTAAAGATTCTTAAAGATAATGATGCTAAAAATATGATATATAAGTTTAAATATTTTTCTTCAGAACATTGTATTTACTTTACCTAAATATTATCAACAATTTGTATTTGAATTTTAATGATCTTTCAGTATTCTTTATTGCTCATATATATATATAAATATATATATTAATACACTCTGAAGGGTATCAAATGGGCATTATATATACTTTTCTACCTAAACCAAACTTCTGTTCTTTATTTTTGTTGTGCCATGTTGATCCAAAATTAAGCTTTAGGCCCTTTTTTCGTGTTGCTGCCGCTGCTGCTGGGCGGTCAATTGCTTTTGACCCGAACCCCAGTTTCCCCCACTTTGCACATCCGTTAGGTTCTGGAAATGATTTTTCCTGTTTTTTTTTTC